ACATTGGAATGATATGTGGCCGGTCGCCATTATACTGTTACCGCTCAGTGAGGTTAAGTTTAGGCAACTAAAGTTACATAAGTTAGGTTTACAAAGTGATTCATGGTTGGGTGTCATTATGTTACATACATAACGTAAAGTTACATAGGTTAGGTTTCGAAAAAGAAACATGGTTGTACGTTTTCACGTAACCTACTTAATGTAATGCATTAATGTAAAGTTATGTAGGTTAGGTTTAAGAAAGCAACATTACGTTTAGTAAAAGAGCATGGTAAGGTGACGTCACCCTAGGTACTTAGCGTAAAGTTAGGTATGTTAAGTTTTAAAAAGTAAAGTTGCATAGGTTAGGTTTAAGAAAAGAAACATGGTTGGTTGTGGTCACGCTACATACTTAACGTAAATTTATGTTAATGTTAGATTTAGGAGGACAAACTTGGTTGGGTGTTGTCACGTTACATACTTTAAGTAAAGTTAGGTTAGGTTTAGGAAAGTAAAGTTATAAGGGTTAGATTTGGAAAGTCAAGTTACATAGGTTAGGTTTAGGACAGTAAAGTTATATAGGTTAGGTTTAGATGGGTTAGGGTTAGTTTGGGTTTAATTATGTAGGTTAGGTTTAGAAAAATAAACATGGTGACTACATACCTTAGAATAACTCAAAGTTCACTTGGTTTCACACAGGACATGAACACCAGTCTCCTGGGGGAAAGTCCTATGTTTGTTTGACCCATCCACCTCCCCAGTGCGTCTCCTTAACCTTTAATACTACTTAGTTTTTTTTCTCCCATTGGCACACTGGTCACATGATCTTAGTGTTCCCAGTAACATGGGTTATATGCTAATTCTGGCGCGTTACTTTTTGTAGGTATACTCATGAACAGTTCATGACTACAGCCTGGTTTGGTTTTGTTAGCAACCTGGGTGTGTGGGTCATCACAGAGGATTACAGTGAGTCAGCTTTTGTATTGACAGAAGAAGAAAACATGATGTGTGATGGAATATTTCCAACAAGAGCACCATAGATAAATGGATACCAGTGAAATGTCACAGCTTGTATTGTAAACTCAGGTATCATCATCATCAGCTCCTTTCACTGAGTAACATGCTTGATTATAGACTAAAATGCCCCATTATCCTTATAAACTATCTCTTTTCCCTGTTGTGACCTGCTGTGTAACCCACATCCAGCCTCCATTAACTGACCAGTGTCAGCACACTTCTCTTTCCCCACATTATTCATCGCTCCTCCTTCATCTTCCTGTCACTTACGTCTTCTGACAGCTTTCTCGTATGTCTTGTAGTAATTACAGTGCAGCTTGAAGAACGTGTGATGTTCAAAATATGAGAGAGGCCGCGAACATGTTGTAGTCTGCAGCTGGTTTCAGTCAGTGAGGATAAATTCTCTTTGAACATCTGCCAAAACTTAGAGATCAGCTAACCAGATATGAGCACACAGTTCACTGTGACATAATGTCAAGTATACAAATACTAATGGTTTGAAAACAAGCTTTCCTGTCATCCATTAAATGCCAGTTGTGTTTTTGGCCATGCTATCTTTATCACAAGGCAGGTGGTGTGGATTAGGGATGCTCTCTAAACTTCAGTATGATACATGCATCACACAAGAATATATAATCCACAAGCTTGTAGCTTTTTAGTCTTTAACAGCCACCTGTACATCCATCTTTTCCCTGATTGCCTCATCTTCTATACTGCTCTAATCTCCACCCTATTTTGTCCCATTGTCTCCTTTGCCCTGTTCGTCACAATCAATCCTTTTTATTCATTCAGCCTCCTCTCTTCAGCTGCCTGATGTTGCCTTCCTTGCTGATTGAAGTTTCACTGGAGCTCAGGGTCCTTTAGGTGATCCCCAAGCAATAACTGCATTTTATTGATGGAAATCTTACTCAGGGTCGTTGGTGTGACATTGATACAACTGTTCCAGCTGAAGCTAAAGCATGGGTTAAAGTTAAATTTTCATTTTTTTAACCACAATCCCATTTAGAGATAATAACAATGATGATAATAATAATAATAATAATAATAATAATAATAATAATAATGATAATAACAATAAACTTTATTTGTATAGCTCCTTTCGCATGTACAATGCAGCTCAATGCGCTCTTCATCAAATTGTATAGTTGGAAAAAAAAAAAACAGAATCAAATTAAGTAAAAGGTGGCAAATTAAACATTAGAATACAATGACAATTGACAATGACAATGACAAGGATGGAATAATAGTAATAATATTTTGAATATAATTAAAGTAAGATATATTTTCTGTAAGATTCGAAGCAAGATTTAAAAAGTGTGTCTTCAAATGTTTTTTCAGGAATTAACTGAGGTTGCATGTTAGATTTATTGAATAAGATTTCAAGGTTTTGGTGCATAATAAGAACAGACTGCCTGTTCACAGTTATTCGTCTTAACTTTTGGGATATTAAATGCCACAGCTTTCGATGACCTAATGCAGTAGAGTTTTAAAATACTTTCTAAAAGAGCTTGGAAGCTAATGTAAAGTGTGCAATGTGCTCTCTTTTACTTTTTTTATATACTCTCATAGTTGCATTTTGTATGAGATTGAATCTTTTCAATTATTTCTTTATTTTTTTATTCCATTCCAATCAGCATTGCAGTTGTTGAGATGAGTGAACACAAAAGCATGAATCATTCTCTTTGCATCAGGAAGAGGAATGTACTCTATGATTTGATTTTTATAATATTTCTGAGGTGGAGTCTCTGTTTTAGGATCAGCACCAACAACTGTAGTTTTGGTCTTAATTAAATTTCAAACATAAATAAATATAATAGGCCAATCTGAAATCTTTTTTGTGCTACATACAGTTGTGCATCATCCACGTGGCCATGAAAATTTATACTGTGTTGTTGAAGAATTTGGCTGAGAAGAAGCATGTATTTAAAAAGGGAGTTGACCAAGTATTGAACCCTGTGGAACACCATATGTAATGTGATTTCAAACATGCTCACCAATAGTTAAAAAGTAATCTGGTCTCACTCCCAACTCATCAAATACAAACGCTTCGTCAGTGGCATTCAGTGTCAGATGCACAGGGGCACCCTTTAGTGACAGTATGAAATGCACTGGGCAGCGGCATTTGTTGACGCTCTGAGCAACTACAGTGTTACAAAGGGCAAAAAGATGGGGTTGGGTCAAACAAAAGCTGGACTTTCAACCAGGAGACAACTGTTAGTGTCCCGTGAGAAACCAAAAGTTAATAGAGCTATTTTAATAACAATGTGATCTGCTAGTATGTGTAGCATACTATACTATTAACATATGTCACATAACAAATGTCATATGTCACATGACGTTATATTATGTTTGTAAAAAATATACATATTCTAAGCCAAACCATGATATTTTCTTCTAAACCTTATCACATGCATTTGTTGTCTAACCCTAAGGAAGTAAACCAAGTTCTTAAGTTTTTGCCTACATTCTTATGGTGCTTTCAGACCTAGAGTTGTCTTGCTTTGGTCTGAATCAGGGACTAATTTTGTTACAAAGTTGCATAATTGCCTAGAGTTGGTTCGTGTTCTCACGACAACATTTACAAGCGGACCAGATCAAATGCCTTGTGCGAGAAAGCTGCTCTTGATTGGTCAGAATTTCCATGTGGGAAAAATCCAGGAAGTAAACAAAACGTTGAAGAAGAGTACACTTGCAAGATAAATGTGACACTTTCTAATGTCACAATGGAGGGACAACTACGCAGGTTGGTTTTAGCGCTGACTATATTGCTGTCATTGTTCATTTTAGTCAAACCATACAGTTTGAAAACGAGGCGCGGCTCCAACTAGAAAACAATGTTGTGATGCATTGGATGTGCTGAATGTGCATATTAAGGCAGTACAGGAGGAGGTGCACATTAATAATCCTCCAGGACTGTAACATGCTCATGTTTAACTCAAACAATGTGTAATGTGACTGCAGTTGGTTCAGATCAAGGTCGGAACACATTCTCACCACACACGAACCGCACCAGAGTTCGTTTGTAACCGGACCAAGACCACCTCTTCAAGAAGGTCTGTTTGTTTTGGCGCGCACCTGAGTGAGATTGCTGTGTGAAAGCACCCTTAGTTTATTTTGAAAAAGGCTGTATGCATTTAATGAGTGGAAACTGTTCCTGTGAAAACTGAGGTTTATTTTGCAGAGAGACAATGCATGCAACAAGTGTAAATTGACACGCTGTCCCTGAATGTCCAAAACTGACGCAAGGGAGTAGCCTACCTAGTGCGCCATATTTTTGTGTGTAGGGCCATTGACCAGGCATCAGTATTTGATGAGTTGGGAGTTCAGATGTGTTGGTTAAATAGGTATGGAACCACTTTAGGGCCTTTTCAGAGATACCAACATGTTTCAAATTATCAGCACAGTGTGATTTATTGTATCAAACCTGATGTTTAAATCAAGGAGATCACTGTAAATCCATTCAGAGCATCCAAATTCTTGTCTTTTCCATTTAGTTTTGTCATTTAGATTAAGATTCAATTAAAAAAAAAAAAAAAAATAGAAAATACTCCCTCATGCACTTATCCAAGAGACCAAATGTGTGCAAGCACCAGGGCAGGTCAACCAGTCTGTGTGGTATCAGTGAGAAGCTTGTGTTTTAAGTTCAAAGAGTTACACAAGTGCAGCCTGCAGCCCTTCCACAGATAATGGGCCATGACCACACAGGCAAATATAAAAGAGAGAAGGAGGGTCGGGGAAAATAACAAAAGAGGGATGAATGCACAGAAATGAAATGGAATCTTATCTTTCATCTAAAAAGAACATCAAAGGAGATGCTTAATCTCAGGAGGCAGTACTTGGTCATCTGACGTGCATCCCCTCTGTATCTCAATCCCTCTCTCATGATGAGATGGATGATGATGAACATGCGTGAGGGAGGGAGGGAGGAAGGGAGGGATAATACCTCCTGAATACATGATGAATGTAGTCATTGGGCTTAAACTGACTGGGGGGCGAGTGGCACACAGAGACCGAGAGTGTGCATGTGAGTGACACCGAGTGCCATCATCAACTCTCTCCTGCAGCCTCTCTCAGTCTCTCCATCCTCCTCCTGAAGAGGGACATATGGCATCACGCAACAAACAAGACAAGTAAAAGAGAGGATGAAATGCATCTTTTTTTTTCTTTTTAAACTGAGCTACCAGAGGCAAGAGAAAAGAGGCGAGTGAGACGCAAAAGTAAAGAAGCATCTTGTGGTTGGCTCCAGCAAGCCAGGCATCCAGCTTTTTTTTTTTTACTAAGCAACAACATCAGGAGCTGTGCTCAGTGTGCACAGCCTGAGGAGGAGAGAGGATGCTGAACAACATGACGGACTGCGAGGAGGGAGAGGGGGGACCCAACAGCCAGGGTGAGTGACGAAACCTGCTACTGACTGATGAGGGAGAGGAGTGCGCAGCAGTGTGTGGATGTGGGTGCATCAATTCGTGTGCGAGTGGGTGCTGCATTTGCAGTCGCACACATGTGAGTTAGGGAAAGTTAAGGAAGAGAGATTATGTAATTTTTATAAAGTGTTAGTTTGCATCTGCCTGTGTGTGTGAAGAGATAAAAGACACAGTGATAGAGAGAGGAAACTGTCAGCTCTGGTTGCTCATGTGAGGTTTATCTGACACAAATATTAATGTTCCACATGTTGAGAGAGTGGAAACAACAAGTGGATGCGCTCCGGTCAAGCATCCATCCACTCTGTGGCGCATCAACTTGGCTCTTACACCCTGGAGTTGCACGTATCAGACTTTATCCTCTTCTTTCAAATTGAGCTGTTCATGGTCAGGTGGATGGATGAATTTGTCATGTTGGTGCAGTAGATGTATTTCAGATGTTGCCCCCCAGAGGTTCAACCTGTGCCTGTGGATTCATATGTCCATGTCAAACACTTTTAGCACTTTACTACAAAAAAGGTTTCCAGCAGACTGAGTGCAGCTCCTGCTGAGCATCTGGGGAAACCAGCCTTTCACTCTCAAACTCATTCATGTCTCTCCATCAAGAACATCTCGCCTGGGGCAATATCTGCATTTCATAATGGTGTGTTTATGTGATTCTGAGTGTATGTGTGTGTGTGCGTGTGTGTGTGTACATATGTATATGAATACATATGTATACAGTCTACATGTGCCCAATATGACCTTGCTGGCACATTTCCATATACATTGTAATATCTTTGGCAGAACCACCTTTTTTTTTTTAACAAATTCTTTTAGATTTCATTGGTTATTACTAGAGCTGCAGCTCTATTGATTGCCTAGTCAACAGAATATTAATTTGCTGCTATTTTGGTAAGTGATTAATTGTTTCAGTATTTTTTCAAGCAAAAGTATTCTCTGGTTTCAGCTTCTCAAATGATATTCGACTGGTTGACTGACACAACAAGCAAACAGGAGCCATCACTGTGGATGCTTTTGTCATTATTTTTAATAATTTTGTTCACTAAACAATAATTTATTTAAATGAGAAACAAATTGGCAGATTAATTGAAGACAAAAATAAATGTTAGTTGCAGCTCTACTTACTACAAATTTGACTTTTTAGTTGTGTTTATGTACACACTCAACTTCTCAACTCTGAAATCCATCAGTGTTGTATGGCAGGATTAATTATATACCACTGATACAATATATGTTTTTTCCCAAATACAAAAAGCCACTGAGCTGTTGTCTGCTTCACCAACTTGTTCTCATTTCCAGGTCCGGCTTGGTCACGCCCCTTGGTGTCTCATAGTGACGCAACGGGCATCCCTTACGCCACATCCCAACTGATGGGTCTCGGTCCAAAAGTGGGTCGTGGGTCCATTCTGAATGGGCTACAAGTGACTTGCAAACATGTCAAGTTTGTAAACACACACTTAATTTTGAAGTACAGTGATTTCTGGCACAGAGCTTTTATTTTGAAGTGCCATTTCCTAGTGTAGAGTGAGTGACTAACAGACGGCTACTTGACAGAGACAACAAACTACCTCGACCACATGGCCAAATAAATGCAAGTATGACGATGAATATATTAAACTGTGTGGACCTTGAACTAATTACTAAGGAGAGATCTGGACCCCTTGGCTGGACCAGTTGGGAACTGCTGCCTTAAGCGCATCTATGTGACGCACAGCTGAAACACACTGTACCATGCGGTTAACACTGTGAAATGGTCACCATTAGGTCTAAGTAACAAAACTAGCTGGTAAGGTTTAGAAAAAAATATCATGTTTTGTTATTTAACATGACGTAATAACGTGCCATGACTGATTAAAGTGCTTGACGTCTGTATTTAAGTTGCATTATGTTATGTTCAAACAACACGAACATTTGGTTTCATATGGGACACCAACTGTGGTCTCCTGGGTGAAAGTCTGGTTTTGTTTGACCCATCAACCTAATATGTAGACTTCGCTCTTTTTACTACATCAGTTGCTCTCAGCGTCAAGTATTGCCGGGGTTGGGTTTACATTGAAGTTAGCTGAACACATGGTGCATCTCATTAAAGCGCTGAAGGATGCCTTTGGTGTAGATACCACACGCTGACAGGTGTGACAGAGTGGCCGTTTTTGATGCTCTGGGAATGAGAATGGGCTGCTGTCACATATTTTTGTTAATGTAAAGTTGTTACTGTGTGTTGATTGTTTCCTTTAAATTCTGACACTTCACCTCACACACATATTGCTCCTAATATTTTTGTAGTTTCCATATTTTTAATACAAAATAACACTTATACACTGCTCATGTTATTTCACCTTCCTTGAGTATTTCTCAATAAAAACGTTCATTTCACTAGAAACAGTAATTTGCTCCTACGTGTCTGTGAGGGATACAGTTGATTTAAAAATCAGTGAGATCCGCTGTGGTGTTACAGAGATCTTGACAGGTTTTGGCTCATTGGCTTGATTGTTTCACAGAATGGGATCAATTTCAGAATCAACACATGTGCAGCCAAGACTAATGTGCATGAGGAAGAGTAAATCGTTTCTCCCACTGGAGGAAATTATTCTGTTTTATTGTATCGACTGACTGATTTGGCATCCTCCCCTGAAGTCTGTTGTTTTAAAGTATTAAGACAGAAAATTGGACACAAGGGCAATTACGTTTTATTGAGTGGAAATTCAGTCTGCTGTGACCCTCCTCCATTCACTTAGAGGTTAACTTAAATAACAGCTTTGACACATTCACATTTCTCAAAGAAAAATATATAGAAACTAGTAGGAGACGCACACACACACCAGTGCTGCGTGGGTTTATGCTAATATATATCTGGTAATGAAACAAACAAAGCATGGCTAATCATCCTGCATAGTTGTCCACCTACCTCGTGATAATTACTGAGTAGATTTAATTACTATATGTTACAAATGAGAGTTGTGAAGTTGCACTTATTTTAGCTGTTCTGACCTGTCATAAAGCACAAGTGTTACTGTTTACATTAACAAAGTCATGATTGTGTAACAGACTATGTACCGTAAAAACCTAATTAAATGGCCAGTCCCTTTTACTTGCCCAGTAGAGCTTCCCATTCTGACACATAAATGCCTGTCTCAGTTAGACGCCTGGTCTGGTGGCCAAGCACTTCATTTTTATAGAAGTTCTTCGGATGTATAAAAGCAGGTTGTTGGCTACCTCAGGGAAGGGTAGCAGGGAAACTATGCCGATATTGAGCCAGCTGTGTGACATCACAGTGTGTGCAGATGAACAGTGTTTGGCTTCGGCCTGAGCTCCCCGCCTGTCCAGTGGTGGAGGTCCGGGTGCTGGCAGCGGCACGGGGGTGAAGCCAAACACTGTTCATCTGCACTCACTGTGATGCCACACAGCTGGTTCAATATCAGCAAAGTTTCCCTTTATATTCATTGTCTTCTGTGGCGATCAGCAGTGTTGTGGTGGTTCACTTTTACACTGTGATCTGTAGCCTATAGTTCGGCTTTAGCTTCTGACTATCTTTGTCTTTTTAACCTGTTGTTGCTGCTGAGTCAGTTTGACATCCTGGATATATCCTTCAAACTGCTTCTGCTGTCTGCTTCTCTCTGGAATCACTGTTTCATTTTTCCAAAAATATGATATTATTTCTTCAGGGAGTGCAGTTAGTTACAGTGTGGGCTCCACGCTTACTCTGGCAGCTTGTCGGACTACCACAAAGGGGCGGGCTTAGTGAAAGGTCAATTGACAAAATGTAGCTAGTGTCACAGTGGCGCAAGGATAGAAGAGTCAGCGTCAGCGTGGCTCAATATAATAGTTAACAAGCAACATCTACTTTAATTTAGTTATCATTATCTACCATTAGGAGCACAAACTAATAATTAACATGCTTTGTCTTCCATGAAAGTCTATGTGACACCAAACTCACTTGAACTCTACAGAACATGTAAACATATTTGAGCCAAGTAAAAAGTACATTTAAAGGAAAACTTCACCCGCATAATTATCTTAACTGCATGTCAATTACATACCTTGTGTTACAGGTACATGAATTCAGGAAGAAAACTTTTGCTAATGACAAAAAAGACTAAAAGTGAATTGATGAATAACAACAGTAAAACTCATGTTTGTTTATAAGTTTATTTACCTTATTAATCCCCCTGAGGGGAAATTCAATGTTTTCACTCTTGCTTGTCAATTACACACAGGTCCGAAAGACACACACATGCACAAACAGGACCTATACATGCACAAAGTGGAGAGATGTCAGAGTGAGGGGGCTGCCTTGGTCAGGTGCCCCGAGCGGTTGGGGAGTTCGGTGCCTTGCTCAAGGGCACCTCAGCAGTACCCAGGAGGTGAACTGGCACCTCTCCAGCCACCAGTCCACGCTCCATATTTGGTCTGGACAGGGACTCGAACAGGCGACCCTCTGGTTCCCAACCCAAGTCCCTATGGACTGAGCTACTGCCGCCCTGAGACTTATTTCTGCAAAAGTGTTTTAAACAGTAAAGGTTTAGCTAAAATGCTTCTGTTGGGGAGGCGCTGAGCATATGACTATATAAATGAGACTTGGATGATACGGCATGAGTGGTGTGACAGTTTGTTAACAGATATTTTGATGTAGTATTTCTGTTGTTATGACTTCAATTCATCAAGAATTTTGTCAGTTGTTGGATTCTTCATACACCATCTAGGCATGTGGGAATAATAATAATTCAACATAACACAGGGTGAGTAACTGATATACAACTGGGTGGTGAAGTATTCCCCTAAGCAACACTGACACTGCAGGATTCCATTGTTAGTGTAAATGTGCCTGGGGTACCTCCAACTTTGAGACCCCAGAGAAGAGATAAGAGGCTTCTACAATCACACTTGCCACTCTGAGGCTGTACTCAGGCACAGTGCTTTGAGCTACATGCTCATGCTCACAGTGACAGTGCTAACATGCTGATGTTTA